ATTTTAACCTTTACAGGAGCAATTGTATCCAGAACATTCAAAACAGTGGTGGTGACAGAATCAAGTAATTCATCTACAGTAACACACAACGTGTTCTCAAAGTTTACCCTCCCCATGAACAGTTCGCCTGTATTATCATTTATGTGTCTTCTTCTAACAACCGAAGATTCAGCTGGTGGTTTACAATCAAGACACATGTCAAAAAATACACAGAAATGATCAGACAGAGCAACATTGACCACATTTACATTTGAAATATTAACCCCCTTGGTAATTAACAGATCGAGAGTGTGTCCTCTGCTGTGGGTGGGGCCACTCACATGCTGAGTGAGACCAAAGGTTTCCAGCACAGAGCTCAGCTCTATTGCATATCTATCATTAGCATTATCTACATGTATATTGAAATCACCTACAATGACCAAACCATCAAAATCTGTGCACACAACTGAAAGCAACTCAGTGAAATGATCAGTGAAACTATGGCATGACCGTGGCGGCTTGTACACAACAATAATAAGAATGGAAGAAGATTTCTTTTGTTCTATTTTAAAAGAAACATACTCAAATGATGAAAATTTCCCAAGAGACACTCTATGGGAGACAATACGATCTTTAAAAACTGCTGCTATGCCCCCCCCCCCTTTTATTTTCTCGTGTTTCATATTCAAATTTGAAATTTGGTGGTGAGGCTTCTATTAAAACTGCATCTCCTGTATTATGGTCAAGCCATGTTTCAGTCATAAACATAAAATCAAGATCATACGAACAGATAAAATTATTAATTAAAAATGATTTGTTGCATAGTGATCTGACATTAAGTAGAGCAAGGTTAAAATTAATATCAGTGTCAGTGGGTTTAGTTGATTGATTACAAAGAACTGGAATTAGATTTCCAGAGTTGGACCGTCTAACTGCTGTCCTTCTTTTAAATTTGTGTTTATTCAAGTTAAAACACATTTCTGAGCTGGTGCGAGAAACACACACAGTCTCTATTGGTTTAAAAAGTGAACTCTGTTGTACTTTGTTAAGTTCCAGATGCATAACTGAGTCAGCACAGTTCAGTGGCAGGACTGTCGTTACACTGCCAGACTGACAGGGGTCAGTGTTTGCACCACAGTACTCACCCGGTGCTGGTAAGGAGGAGGAGGAGGGGGGGTAGTGGGGGCCGAGAAGCCTCGGATGTAAACAGTCACGCCCCCCTCGGGGAGCACTGAACAACATGGCGTAGGAAGTCCGTCAACAAACTGGTGCCGTATCTGTTCGGGTGCAGACCATCTGGACGATAGGCCACGTGACGCTTCCAGAACAGGCCAAAGTTGTTCACAAAAATAAAGTTAAAAGTGCTGCATGTAGACTGGAGCCACATGTTGAGCGCCACAACGCGACTGTAGAGGCAGTCACCCCGGTTTACAGTCGGGACTGGACCAGAGATAAAAACACACAACCCGAAGGACTGGAGGAGGCGGAATAGATCCATAAAATGCTTCTTTGTGACCTCGGACTGCTGCAGCTTCATGTCGTTGATCCCCACATGCACGATTACCTTTGAAATGGTATCAGGCAGGGACTGAAGCAGAGGAGGGAGACGGATGAGCAGGTCTGGTACAGTGGCTCCGGTAATGCAGTGAGTGACCGCGTTAAAAAAGCGGACGTGCCTCACGATGGAATCTCCAACAATCAAAGTAGTCGGGGCGAAGAGTGGACGCGGCCGCGGAGAGGGCGCTCGGTGTCCATGGCCAGAACCAGCGGGCTCATCCAGGGATGGGTTCGAACCAGGGCGCTGCTGAACACATGGAGGGGAGCGGGGGTGTTGATTCCCAGCTCCGGGCAACCCACGCTGTGTGCTCGGGGACGCTGGAGCGGCGTGAGGAGCAGGCTCGGATCGCTGCTACTGACCCGGTGAAGGTAAGTGGTGGTGATGCACTGGGGTCAGAGAAGGGGAATGACCACTCTTTCGTCTGAGGACAGCTTCCTTTAAGAGTGTCTTTCTCGCAGTGGACCTGGATCCACGGAGAGCAGTAGAGTTTGCTGCAGAGTCCAGGGGTTCTGCTGAGGGGGCTGGAATGTCAGCGGAGAGGGCTGCATAGCGGTTTGAAAGGCTCAGGACATGGGCCACGGCGCTGGATGGCTCCTCGCAGTCCGCAGGCTCTTTATTCCGAACCGGGCACTTAGGTGTAGAGCAAGAGGGCCCAGAGCTGACAGATCTCTCCCACACGACAGTGTCACAGTATGCAGCGCTCAGTGACATAAGCCGTGAGTGCTGCCCGCCAGCGACATCAAAAAGTTTGGACACGAGTGACTGTTTATCCTGCAGCTCTGCAGTGAGGCAAAGGACTTCTTTACGGAGGTCTGCAATAGTGGCACGGTCCCTCTCACGAAGCTCCAATGTGAGGCGACTAATGTCGTTCGTGGTCATTGCAGTGTCACTTTCCATGTCTGTGGTGCGCTCGTGGTAGCCTCCGAGCTAGCGCGTTTCGATTGGGTCTTTGTGTTAAAAGACGTGATGCTCTGGAACCATTAATAAAACACTAGAGTGTACAAAAGACACTAATACACCGTAAAAACGTGTTTAAAAGGCTTTAAAAGGCTTAAAAAAGGGTAAAACAGAGCAGAAACGTCAAAACGCGTGCTCCCCCAGCTGAGCTTGTGCATTTGTTGAAATACATCAACAAATACATTATTATTATTATTCAGACTCAAATAAAATTGGTCAATAAAAAAGAGAGGTTTCACAATGTAAGTTCAATTTCAGAAGCAAATAGACTTTTGGTATTAAACTTTTCCCCTGTATATATGTAGTTTAAAAATGAGAATGTATGGAATGCAGGGTAACAATATTAGGTTGTGTTTATCACTGACACAAAAAGAAGCAAAAACCATTGTGTACTTGCTGTGAGCCGACGTATATCTCCTTTATTTCACACTGTTTTCACCGACAGGTTTATAGCTTTCGTCTTCATATTTATCTTCAATGAAAATGTCCCGATGGATGGCTTTTGGTGTACCAGTAATCTTCAAGGTTGTGCCACCTCCATATAGTAACAGCACTGCTTTGATGATATGCAAAACGTTGATGGCAGTAATTAAATTGTCAATGAAAGCTGCTAGAATGTCTATTTATATGTCCAAACCTGCTGCTGCCTCCTGCAACACAAAGTATTCAGGCTGGAAAAGGCTCAGGCTACAAGGTGGAAGCACAAATGTCTGATTATTTTACACGTTTAGATCCATTCGTATTTTGACATTATTTGTTGTGTGCTGTATTTGTTTTGTGACATATTTTATGCATTTGTTTCATGTTGGTTGTCCCCTTTAAAAAAAGAAAGCAACATCAAAGTTTTAAATCCTCAATTGGTAAATAAAAACACTAACAAATGCATTAATGAATAAAGCTTTGATACATTATATGATTAATATAAAGTATCAAAGCAAACAGCCTTTTATCAGCTTTACAGATTCTATAACAACATTTACAAATCTGCAGTGCTTTTCTCTGCTTCCGCTGTATGTGTGTGTGTGTGTGTGTACGTGCATGTGTGCGAGTGTGTGTGTGTGTGTGTGCGTGCTCCACTGGGACACACTGGCACTGAGCCAGCGTTCTCGGGCCACTGCTTCAGAGACCTGTAATAATGGACTCTTTTCCCTAAAGGAGCCTGAGTAAAAGCAAAGTGAGAGAAAGAGAGCTGTTCCGACGCTCGGGGAATGACAAGGCACACGACATGCCCGGCAGTTAAAGTCGCCTTGCTGTGCTCTCCTAACCTGCATTTTAATATGTGTTGGGAGCTCGGAGTCAAACTGAGGCTATGGTTTGTCCCTGAAGGCTTCCGTAAACCGTGTAAACAACGTGCGTGCAGCTTGAATTTGCCTTTATGGAAATGTGCAAATATGAATGTACTTATTTCCTCAGGTATTTGTCTTGTCACTTGTCATTTTCAAGTTGAATTAGTTATTTTTCATTTGCACAGTGACAGCTCACAGAAACAAAAACAAGAGATGCTCTGCACTTGCATTTGCTACAAGTTCATTTCCATCTGCAGTCTTTGGACAGAGATGATTCTACAGCATGCAACATATAAACAATAAAATATCAATTAATAAACATAACCGTAATGTTTTAATTTCCAGTGTAGAATGTTTTGAGTTTACTAATACCCTTAAAATCCATATAAACATCCTCAAAATCCCATTACACAAATACTATAATCCAGTGTTCCCCATGCTTTTGGAGCTGAGGCGCATTGGGAACAATCACATGAAACACCACCAGCTGAAGTAATTTGGGATCATTTCCAAAGGAACATTATAAACAACATTTTTGCGGCACACTGGTTGAAAAACACTGCCATAAACTATGTAAAAAGCAACATAAAGACTTAAATAATACACATCTACTTTACACATCCTCCCATCCAATACATTGAACCGGTGGAAGAACCTGTTTCATACTATTTATTAACGTGATTTTTTATAAAGAAGCTATAGTGCATATATTATGTTCAATTATATTAGTATAGAAGATAAAGATAGATATATTGATGTGACAGTAGGTCAGTTGGTCGAGCATTGGCCTTTGAGCCTGAAGGTTGTGGGTTTGAGCCCACCACAAGACTTTCTCCACCGTCTGACGTTCCCTGTCATTTTGTCCTTGGGCAAGACACTTAATCTCTGGGAACACCAGGTGCCACAGTGGGACAGCTGTAAAGTTCCAAACTCCCGTTGTTTCCTTAGGCAAGACACTTCACCCCCATTGCCTAGAATGAGTCTGGCACATACTGGTTGCCTCGCTTCTGTCAGTGTGCCCCAGGGTAGCTGTGGCTACAGTAGTAGTTTATCACCACTGTGTTTGGAGTGAACGATTGATGACATGTAAAGCGTCTTCGAGTGTCCAAAAAAGCGCTATTTAAAACCGATTTATTATTATTATTATTATTATAATTATTAGATAATAGTATAATTAGAGTCTAGTATTGTGGTCTTTATTTGTGTCTTTGTGTTCACAGATCCCTGCCTTATTGTGATGCCACCATGTATGGGGGAAGCAGACCGCTTCAGTCTGGAGGCCCTCCGCCACATCCACAAACAACTTGATGATGACAATGATGGAGGGATAGAAGTTAACGAGAGTGTGGAGGTAAGACGTCAGCTGAAATGTCCTACTATGAAGACAAATGACCACAAGCAGCTGTAAATATTTTTCAAATGAAACGTTTAACAATGTTCAGGGTTGTGGAAATGAAATCCCAACCTAAAGTTGACATTCCACACTTCCAACCTGTGCTGTTTGACCACATGAGAGTATAGCGGGGTAAGCAGGTACTTTGTTGCAGGGGCAGACAGCTCGACATGTGAGAGGGCCCTGTCCCACTGTGCTCTGCGAATATCTCCATGATCTTGTCCGTAAGCACACAAGAGGCGCTCTGGTTTTGTTTTTGTTGGCTTGGCTCATTTTTAACTGGCTGAGTAGTGGTGGTGTGAGAAACGGGTATACCGTGTTAGCCTGCTGTGGCGCCGCACTGGAGATCCGAACGCTGTTTGCTTGTGAGGCCAGTCAAAAGCCCCAGAGACCTGGCCCTGAGCCTGAAAATGAGGACTTGTGGTGTCGCCCATACTGTAGACTGGTGACTTTAAAAGGCCAGCCGCTCCGGTGTCTTGGACACAGAGTTGTTTTTGGCTGCTGCTCATATTTCCATTCTGTTTCATACGAGTCTTGTACTAGGATGGATCTTTCCTCTTTTAGTCACTTTGTTGGAATGATGTAAGATGGACTTTACATTTTGGAATATTTGATATTAGTTTGGCATTGGCGGGCGATCATTTTAACTCCACTTCTCAGCCCAAAATATGTGGTACTTTATTGTTGGCATTGTTCCTGTTTTATAATTTAAGTCTCGAAAGGAAATAACTTTCTAGTAGGCTCCTGTTTTAAAATACTTGTGAAGCTGGAGTGCCTAACTTAAATGAAATATATATATATATATATATAAACTGAGCGACAGTAGCTCAGTTGGTAGAGCATTGGCCCCAAGGCCTGAAGGTTGTGGGTTCAATTCCCACCTCTACACCTTCTCCACCGACTCCCACTGATGACTGCTGTCGTTGTGTCCTTGGGCAAGACACTTAACCCCACTTTGCCCAAAAGCCCCCACTGAAAGATCAAGGCTATGCTCACACTCAGAGAGCAGCTGTCCTCCTGTGGACTCACCACCTGCAGAGGGTCAGTGAGGGGCTGGTGCTATGAGACTTGGGTGGCATCTCTGACTGCCACCCCCCTGACCCAGAAATGGATTAAAGGGTAGAAAATGGATGGATGGATGGATATAAACTAGGGCTGTCAAACGATTAATTTTTTAAATCGAGTTAATTACAGCTTAAACATTAATTAATCGTAATTAATCGCATTTCAAACTATGGGCAAAATTATGCCATATTTTTCTGTAAATTGTTGTTTGAATGGAGAGATAAATGACAGCTTAGTGAACATATGTACTGTAATTGTTTGTTATAACAATAAATCCATATAAAATGGAATTAACATTCTGTCTTTCTGTTTAGACTCAGACCAAAACCATTGTTTGTTACAGATTAGGGACATTTCAAAATAGTCTGAAATGCAGAATGTCATTCAATCTGTTTGATTTGCTCACACCATTACTTTTTTTTGGCACAACTAACATGAACTGGTAGTCGAAAGGAAAATTAGGTACCTCAGCTTTAATTTAGCGAGTGCGCTTCGGGAGAAGACACGGAGGAGACTGAGGCTCCGCAGTCCAGCTTCAGCGCTGTACATATTGTGTGCATCGGTTACGCAAAGACACGTACGCACACTAGAGAATAGTTCTGTAATAGTTCTGTGCGTGGTCTTGGATATGATCCCGTTACGCAGCGCCGTTCGCCGTGATCACAGCTGCTGGAAGTGGGACCTGCTGTCCAGAGCGCTGTGGCGCCCGCAGCTCATCATGCAGAGTTCATACAGGAAACAACAAGTATTCTTTCAAAACTTGAATTCCCAGAGGGCCTACCTGCTCTGTCCCCATCTTTCACACGCATGCGTCCGCGGCATTCTGAGTTTTATTATGGGACGCATGGGCAAGCGTCAAATGCGTTAATTTTTTTAACACGATTAATGAAAAAAAATAATTAACGTGCGTTAACGCACAGCCCTAATATAAACAAATGTCTTGTTTTGTTGTCTTTCAACAACAGAACAAGATTTTGTTGTTGTTGTAAGTTGTTTTTCAAATGATTTTGTTGTTGTGGGATAAGATAAGATAAGAATTCCTTTATTCGTCCCACAGTGGGGAAATTTCGATGTTGCATCGCACATATAGGACAGTAGTAAGAGCACACAGGGAGCACACACAATATATACAAATAAGTAGTAGCTATGTTTCTTAGCTAACATAACTGGCTGTAGATGCTGAAAATGCTTCAATACCAGTCAAAATATATATGTAGTAGTGCAGTTATATACTGTACAGTTAAATAGTGCAGGATAAAAAGTATATAAGTAAAGTGACATGAGGTAAAGTGACATGAGGTAAAGTGACATTGTTCTGTGACATTCTGAAGTTGCAGTATTGCACATTGCACATGATTTAAGAATTTACTTAGTTACAGATGAATGAAATTTACAGGCTCAGCAGTTTTTATTGTACAGTCTGACAGCAGCAGGAAGGAAAGACCTACGGAACCTCTCCTTCACACAGCGAGGGTGAATTAGTCTGTCACTGAAGCTGCTCTCCAGAGCAGAAAGAGTGTCCTGCAGGGGGTGACAGTCATGGTCCAGCATAGATGTTAGTTTGTCCAGGACCCTCCTGTCCCCCACCTGCTGCACTGTGTCCAGGGAACAGCCCAGGACTGAGCTGGACTTCCTGATGACCTTGCCCAGCTTCTTCCTGTCCCTCTCTGTGATGCTGCTGTTCCAGCAGACCACACCGTACAAGATGGCTGATGCCACCACAGAGTCATAGAAGGTCTTCAGGAGTGGCCCCTGCACTCCAAAAGACCTAAGCGTCCTCAGCAGGTAGAGGCGGCTCTGGCCCTTCTTGAAGAGTGCGTCTGTGTTATGAGTCCAGTCCAGTTTGTGGTTCAGATGAACCAACTGGGCGACAGTAGCTCAGTTGGTAGAGCATTGGTCTTAGAGCCTGAAGGTTGTGGGTTCGAGCCATAGACTGTACATATTAACGGACGTTGTCACGCCTATCTCCGCCGTTCAAACAAATGAGCCAAAAATTGTGCTCTACTGGAGCTATCCAAAATGGCCGCGCCGTGGTCCCGCCCTCAAGAAAATTGTGAAAAAACGCATCTGTGCATGCGTCAGCCGGCGCAAGCCCCATTCATTTAAACGAGTGACTTCAAAAATTCACAGCGAGTAAACTAGACTGGTCCAAAAAAATTCACCCCCTCAGCATTGACACACATGTGGAACGGAGCTTTGGGCCAAGAACCAACTTTTGGACCATCCTGTAAAGACGTTTTCGAGAGGTATGAAGATGCTATATGTTGGCATTGGCTAATTGTTATTCTGGGTCCTGACCTGATTGAGCAAAACCAATTTTCGGACTCAGAGCATCAAAATTAGTCTAATTCAGCTGGAAAACCCTGGACTATTTTCAAAAAATATTTTTTTGTTACCCACTGTAATTGTGTTTATCATGTATTGTATGGGGCAAAGGGGTGTATGGTCGGAGTGTTTGGGGCCTGTGTCGTGTTTCGGTATGTTGTATGTTTCTGTTTGTTGTATTTTTGGTATAGTGTGGTGTGAGTGGGGGGTTGGAATCAAATAAGCGTAAGCTTACTCCATCCCCTTTTCAAGTCACATGATTGTGAATTGTAATTGACTGTGAATGTTATTTTTGCTTTACTTGAAATAAATAAACAAACAAACAAACAAACAAACAAACAAGACCCTTAACCTGGTCTAAATACTAAAGCTGGATGAACCTTCAGAGGAAATCCTTGGAGGTGGTATAATCAGGGATCCACTGTAGATCTAGTGGCATTTCCTGTCACCAACTTGAAAGGAGCGCCACGGTGAAGAAAGCACCGGGGGTCGTGTCCTGTGCCCTGCATCTGCTCGGTCTGCAACACGAGCCTGCTCTTACCTAGCATGTTTCAAACCACCGCACAAACCAACACATTCTTCAAATATGTATAAACGTCATGATGGATGCGCTTCACTTTTATGGAACTATGTAAAGCATTTGTCACTTTATTGTGCGTTGAACCTTAAAGGGACATGGATAGTCTCGTCCGTCATGTTACAGCCATCTAGTTTTTCATAACAAGCATTACACAAATTATTTTCTGGTTTATAAGAGGTGACTTAAGGACTCTCCTAAGGGAACGCCTATCGCTGTTTGTCCCACCCACTGTTCAAACATAATAAATAGCACCTTTGACCTGCCTGAAACGAATAAATAATAGCATTTGTTTACCATTGGATCATTAGCATTAGTTTGTGCGTCATAGATACAAGACTTACGAAAGACATGTGTAAAATGCATATTTCTTTGTCCTAAAGTGTGGACATAAGCCTCTTCATAATGCTCTTCATACACATTTGATGAACTCACTTTTACCATTTTGTAAGTTTACTGATGTATAGGTCTTTTAATGGCATTTTTACACCTTGTCCACAGACTGAAATCTAGCTACAACTAGCTTTGTAGCAAAAACTGGCACGTTTACAGAACTCTGCAGAAAGTCATTACTGTGCATGGTCCCTGTTCAAATGAATCAATAAATACACTTTTAGCCATTCAAATAAAACACAGATCAAACTAACAACGCCCCCAAGAGGCACAGCTCCATTCCTTTAACAAATCCTGCATCCTGACACCGACCATCACCTCTCCTTGTTCATCGAGTAACTGGAAAGTTTCGTCCAAATCCTCCTATAATGTTTTGAGTTATGTTTCTCAAGGCGCGTTCAGACCAAAAGCTTCAAAAAGCTTTTGACGCGCTTCAACTTACGCCGGGATAGTTTTGTCATTTTGGTGCTTGAAGCTTTTGACGCGAGTGACGCGCCTGACGCCGGTGGGAGGAGCTTTTCTGTTGTCTGTTGCAGTGTTGCCAACTTAGCGACTTTGTCGCTAGATTTAGCGACTTTTCAGACCCCTATAGCGACTT